ATTTGGTAGCAGGGATTGATTTTGTGCCAATAATACCTTGAATCTCGGCATGCAACTTGTCACGCAAAACTTCAGAGGATTTCGACGAGGCGCCAGTGTGATGATCTAATCTCGCCGGCGAACAAATTGCAAAAATCCTGGGCGAATTCCGACGAGAATGCGCCATGGACGACAGTAACTGTTTTTCTCTCTCTTAGACAGTTATCACTCTAGGAGAGAGAAAAAAGAAAAAGTCCGTCTAGGAATAATTGGAAGATACCACAAAGACTTTCTTGGTATAGGCTTAGCAGAATGCACATCACGCTGCTTAAATCGTGGCTCTTCACATACCGGGCACTATAAATAACATTGACTTTCATATTCTTCATAATACAAAATGCAATTGTTCACACAAACATCATACTTTTATACCCGAGACCTAGACGCCTCAACATCTTCTTGGCACTATAATAATCTGTTGCCAATTTCTCTCTATTAACTTTTTTGAAGGCCATTAGACTACGCTTTAGCACATAGTCCCAATTAGTAACACTCATGTTAAAAAGTGTTTTTGCACTCATGAGCTCACACACCCACTTTAAGACAGTGACACCATCATCACACCATTCAAAAAGAGGTGTATCAGTTGCTCACAAAAGATCAAAGAACTCTTTTGCATCTCCTCTTGGCTCCTTAAATATCGATTATGTACTGACACCATATGGATCATCAAAACTAGCATCAAATTGTGTTGCATCTTCTACCCTTGTGGCACTATTTTCATTGTTAAAAAAATTTGGTCCCATGACATCATGAAGCATGTCTCTGAGTTGATCGACACTTGGAACATTATTCATAGCAGCGCCACTTGATGATTCACCCACTTGGGTGCAACGCCGTTTTCTATGAATAATTTCTCCGTGTCTTTTCCAAATAAAATACCCATCCATGAAGCTATTCTTAATAAGATGAGTTGCACGTTGCGTCGATGATGCCATTCTCTATTCCAACACTTACTACATGGACACCAAATCATATTCTTTGCACAAAACATCAAGTCCGTTTGTGAGAATGCAAAATCTAAGAAAATATCTACCCCAGCATTAAATTCATTGTTCCAATAACCCATTTCATCTCGACGACGATATATCCAACTCCGATCTTCTCCCATAATTAAGTAGTACGTGTCCTAAAAATTCAATAATATCTTAATATTATATAACAAGCATTAGAATCATAAATATTAATTTTGGTCCATCAACTTTATGATTTTACATAATTTTCATCCCTCAACTTTTTTCTTTGCTCATATTGGTCCTCAACTATGCATAATGTACATTTTTAGTTCTTCTGTCAATTAAGTTTCTTTAGCACATTGATTAAAGGACTAAAAATGCAAATAACTCATAATTGAGGACCAAAATGAGCAAAAAAAAGTTAAGGGACAAAAATTATGTAAAATCTTAAAATTGAGGAATCAAAATTAGCATTTATCCTTTTAAAATTACATATGCTATAATAATATATATAATTACATTTTTAACCAACTAAAAATCTACCTAATTTAATTCATCTTTACAATTAATTAAAAAATTATGAAAGTTAATTTGTTATACATTAATTATTATTATTTAATTTTATAAAATATAAATACAATAAGTA